CCCCCCCCCCGAGCAGGACCCCTGACTGCTCTCCTGGGGAGGGGGGCAGAGGGTCTGCAGTGGGGAGCTGCCCTGCCCCCCCTGCTGCTTCTGGCCTTCAGGAAGACCATGCCCCCTCCCCCCCTTTGCCTGGGAAGCTCTGCCCACCTGGGACACAGGCTCCCAAGGCAGCCCTGATGCCCTCCCTGGTGCCCCTGTGCCCGGCAGTGTATGGGGGGACGACAACTCATCGCTGCCTTAAATTGGCCTAAAATGCCTCTAGACCTCCCCACCCCCAAGAATCCAGTGGCCTCTGGACCTCAAGGCTTTGGCCAAGGTTTTCCAAGTTGGGCTGGTGGGAGGATTTCTAGGCTGCACTGGCAGCCGCTTGGCTTCGCTTGGTCGGTTAAAAGGAGCGAACGATGGATGGGGCAGCAGGAGGACTTAACTGGGTTTATTGAGGTGCTGAGTGATGCGGAAGGCGTCACCTGCGGCATTGAGGGCAGGGAGGGCTTCAGGTCCAGGCTTCCCTCTGCCAGAAGGGGAAATGGGGGCCCTGCCCCCAGGACTTGGGGGCCAGAGAGCCCAGGCAAAGTCCCCGTGGAAATGCCCCGCCCCCCCATGGCATTCGAGGCCCAGTCTCCAAGGCCTGCTTGGCTTGGGGGGGGGAGGTGGGGGGCTGTCAAAGGCAGGGAAGGGAGAAGCTGCCTGGGGGAGCCGGGGAGATCAGGATCCATCCACCCCGCCCAGACCGGAGGGGGAAAATGGCAGCGCCCAGGGGATTGGGAAGGGCAGGCGGGCGTCTCGAGGTCCCAGGGCAGGGCGGCAAAGTCGGCAGGGGCTTGGAAGAGCCAAGAGGCCTTTCAGGCCCCCCGACAGAATTCCCACGTGGCAGCAAGGAGAGGCCGAAAGATCGGGGGGTTTGGGGGGGGGGAGAGGCTCTTCCCAGGCCTCCCACCCTTCCTTCAGCTGGCATTGGGAGGCCAGTGGGGATGGCCCAGAGGGAGGCGACCCGCAAGCTGCTTGTCTCTGGGGTCCTTGCAGCAGCCCCTGTCCCGCGATGGGGACCCCACGGCCCCCGGATTGCCCCTGGCCGCCCTCCCTGTCAAGGCGGTGGGGCGGAGGCCCTTTGGCGCTCCTCCCTTTTCTCCTCTATTGGCTGGCTTCCCAGTTGCAGGTGGCCGCCTATCCAGGCCCCTGAGGGCACCTCAACGGAAGAATGGCATCTCATGGTGCCCTTCTCTCTTGGGGCACCAGGGACATATGCCCCCTCTCCTGGCGTCTGGCCCCGACCCTGCCAGCTTCTTGGTATGCCCCAGGGCGTGGGGTTTGGGAGGGAGTCTAGATGACCCCCTGGAGGTGTTTCTTGTTTCCTCTGGGTTTGCCCTCTGCCCTTTTGTTCATCTAGGGAGTTATTATGTTTAATCTCTCGTTAGCCACCCAGAGTCCTATTTCCAAGATGGATGGCCATATAAATGTGCTTAATAAATAAATAAAATGCGGTAGTGAATGAATCGGTGAAATAGGAGCAAGATTTGTTCAGAAATTAATCTGGGGTGAACCCAATATTTTAATTATGTGTGCTGGATTTATGCAGGGTGGCTCCTTTGGGATTTACATCCTGTCAGATTCCAGAACTCCCTCCTGGTACAAAACTCGGCCTTTTCGGGGTGTGTGTGTGTGTGTGTGTGTGTGTGTGTGAGAGAGAGAGAGAGAGAGAGAGAGAGAGAGAGAAGTGTTCCTCTTTTGTACACTTTGTCACTTTAGCACAGCCAATCCCCTTGGTTAATTGTAATTGAAGAGCAGCTACTGGTGTGGGATAAAGTGGGAACAAGATGCAAATTAATTGATTTTATTTGGTGTGACTAGGGTGGAGGATTAATTGAGTGGCTTTATCGTCTGTGAAATTATCAAATTACATGCAGAGATACGAACTGGTGCCTGAGTCTCCATCCACACAGACCTAAGGAGGGACAGCCTCTTCCTTACCTGCCCGCCCCGCTGGTCGCTCTCTGCGGGCGGCTTCTCTCCCCAAAGGGAGCCGCCCTCCGTCTGTGGGGCAGGAGGGCTGGTGTCTCCCTGCTTAGCTGGCCTTGCTGCTCGGGCCCTGGGAGGAGGCCGAGCCAAGAGGCCTCTTGGGGCAACCGGAGTCCCTTGGGGGCCCCTCGACTGTAGTCTGGGGAGCTGCTGGAGAGGGTGGGGGGCTGGCTGCTAGGGCTGTGCTGGATCAAGCCCCTGGCCCTGGCAGGTGACCCAAGGCAGTCACGGAGGGGGCTCCAAGCTGCAGTGGGGAGGGGCCATGGAGGGGAGCTCCAAATGCAGCCGAACAGCCGAGTGAGGGAAGGGTCCCTGGAGAAACCCCTTCCAGAGGAGCCTTCGCCAGGCGGGCGGGCGGGGGGGACGGGACCTTCACCTTGTGTGAACCCTCTTCCAGAGCAGAGCCCAGGGCTGGGCGGAGGAGGGGAGGGGGGAGGGAGCCTCTTCAAGGGCGCCCAGGTGCTGGGGAAGGGGCCCTTGGGGACTCGGCGGCCACCTCCGCTCCACTGCCTTTGGGGCACCTGGCCTTGCACTGCAGTTTTGATAGCTGCCCGGCCGGCCAGCCCTGGCATGCTGCCCACAAGGCTTTCCGGTCAGGCGGCTTATGCAGCAAAATGGGAAGGAGCCCCCCCCCGCCGGGTCCCCCCCCCCCCCGGAGGAATTGCTGCCCTCCAAGGAGCCCCCCCACTACAATGGGGTCCTTGGGCGGCTGGGGGGAAGGACTCGAGGGGGAGCCACCCAAACCCAGCCTCCATCCCTCTGCCCCCCCCCCCCCCGCCCCCGCCCCCCCCGGCCGCCCGGGAGGGCGAGAGGCACCCCCCCCCCCCCGCCTTCCCTGCCCCTCCCCCCCCCCATGTTCCCTCCTGCAACCCCCATACTTGAGTTCGGGGGTTTCGGAGAGGCTTCCGGTTTTCTCCAGCCGGCTGCTTAACCTGCTGGGGGGGGGGGCTTCCTCCCCCGAACGTGTCCCCACCTCCTGGGGGTTTTTCTGTCCTGGGGGTTTCCACTCCACCTACTCCTCGTTTCGTGACTGTTCGCCATTACCACAGTGATGAAAAAATCAACCACTGACAAGCTTTGCAGAGCTGAAATGAGACCTGGGTAGGTAGCTGGGCTTTCGATTAGCAACTGCTTTGCTTAACGATGGATTTGCAGTCGCTAAACGAGGATGACCCATAATCCTCAGCTATTCTGAGGAAAGGGACCTGCTCTTTCAGTCCACTCATTGAAAAAGAAAGCAAAGGGCTTAGAAACGCTGCTGCCCAGAAGGAAATCCAGGCTCTGGGCTGCCGTGGGTGGTGGGGAAGGCGGCCTGGCCCCAGGGTTGCCCCCTCCCCTCAACGGCTTCTGGGGTGGGGCTTTGGCCAGTAGGCCGTGCTCCCTGCAGTGCCACCGCTGTGCCCCAAACGTGTGTGTGTGGGGGGGGGCAGCCTTGGGGGCCTCTGCTGGGACTGGGCCTCCGTGGGGTCCGTGGGCTTCCCTGTCTGGGGCCTGGGAGCTCGGCCAGCCGGGCCAAATGCAGTGACCCCCCCCCTCCTTCCCCAGGACAAGAACCGGAAGCTCCGTCCTCTCTACGACATCCCCTACATGTTTGAGGCCAGGGAGTTCCTGCGCAGGAAGCTGATCGGGAAGAAGGTGAGCTGATTTGGGGGGGGGGGGGGCTGTGGGGGGTCCTGCTGGCGGCCATCTTCCTGCCCCTTTTGGCTCTGGGACGAGGCACGGCTGTCTCCGGCTCGCCTGGAAATCTCTCCCCTTATGCTGCAAACAGACCCGCCCCCCCCCCACCCCCCCCCCCCCACGAGCTGGAGCAAGGTGAGGTCACCTCTGCCTGCATTCAAGGCCCGGGCTCTGTTGCTGGTGCTTGGTGCTGAGAACCTGGGCAGGTTGGCATGCAGAGGGAGGAGGGCAGCCGCTTCCCCCTGCCTTCTCCCCCTCCCCCCAGGGGCTCCTTTGGGGGGAGCAGCTCTGGAACTGCCCTGTCTTCCTTGGGTCGGGGGGGGGGGGGGGGCTGGGAGAAGAAGCCCTGGCCCTGAAGAGGGGATGCCCCCTTGCTCCTCCCTCCCCCCAGAGCCTCCTGGCTGCAGATGGAAAGGCCGGCCCCTTCCCCTTTGCCCTGCAGGTCTGGGGGGGGGTGTTCAGGGGGGGGGGGGGGTGGGGGGGGGGGTGGGGGGGGGGGGGGGGGGGGGGGGTGCTTCACAATGCGTCCCCTTGAACTCCCAGGAGTAAATTTGCAAGCCTCCCTCTGAATTTTTTTTTTTAAACCAAATTTTATTAATTTTTAAAGACATACAAAACATAGATACACAAAAACACAAAACATAAAAGCATAAAAAATCTCTTTTCTGAAAGTTGCTTAGTCCCGGGTTATAACTCTTGGTACAGACACAAATTCAAATTCATATTCATTTTGCATACCATTTCATATCTTATTAACATTTTCAATTTTCTGTATAACTTCTCCTCACTTTTAAATTTTCTCAATTTTATTTTATTTATCTCCTCTCAATTCGAATCATAATATTTATTATTCTTTGTCTGTTCTATTTCCAACCATCCATTTATTTTCTTCTTTAAAAAAGAAGAAAAACTTCTCCTGTACACTAAATGGAGTATGATGCCTTTATCTCCTTCCCCTATATTTATAATACTTAATATAAAACACATAACTTACATTGGGATTCTGTCTGGTACATTCTAAAATTATACTATATTATCAAAAATAATACAAATCTATTCATTAATATTAATATTCATTTATATCTTAAACATCTAACACATTACTTTTCAGTTAAATCACATACTTTTATGGGAGCACCTATTTTCCATAGTTATTCCCCCCCCACCTCACATATTATAGCTCATTATTTCATTACGATGTTCCTCCTTCTTCTACTTCAAATCTCTCATTTCACAAAAAATTTCGCTAATATACCATAATCTAATCATTAATATTAACAATCATTTATATCTTAAACATTTTATCCATTTCAATTAAATATCATGCCTTTGTGGGAACACTTATGCTTTCCAAAAATTATTACACCCCCCCACATCACATGTCTTAAATCATATTTCATTACAGTTCTCCCTTTTTCTTAACTAAAATTTCACTAGTTTATATTAATTATTTTATCACATTTTAAATTACATATTATTTCCAATTTTCTATGATTATTTCTAAATACAAATATAAAAATGCAATCTTATGTACCTTTCTAGAATCCCAATTTCAATAAGATTTATCCATTATCTCGAAAAAACTTTTGCTTCTTCACATCTTGCTCCCCACCATTAAGGCTTCTCATCCCTTCCTTTCTCCCTTGCTTCTTCTTCTCTTTGTCCTCTTTAACCCCTTGTCTCTCCACCTCCCTTTTCTTCTGTTTTCCCTCTTTCTGTTGTTTCCTAACATAATGTCCCTTTTTCACCTTATTCTTCTCTTTTTGGGTTGTTTTTCCAGATCTTAAAGTCTTCTTTTCCTTTTTTTCTTTCTTTTTCCCTTCTCCAACCAAAGTTATTTGTTCATCAAAGATGGCTTCTTCTTTGTCCCCATCATCCTGTTGCTCATTCTGCTTCACATAAGTATAAACCACCATTTCTAAAAATTGAAAAAGAGTGCCAAAAACATCTTTCCCTTCTTGCTTTTCTTTTTCATATTTTTGATATACAAGTTTCAGTCCATCCACAAATAATGCCATTGTGTAGAGAAAAAGTTTTTCCAAACAACCACCCAGATGTTTTTAATAAAAAATAATTCTCAAAAGTTCCAAAATCACCAAACAATCCAAACAGGCTGTTTCTTTTAAAAACCTCCTTCTTCTTCACTTTCTCTTTCTGGAGTTAAAGTTTAATCACAAAGTTCTCTTTCAAATATATATTTTTAGAAGTCTTATTGATGTTTAGTAACTCTTTAAAATTCTAGGCAATCTTCTCCTTATTTTCAAATTTTGCTCCAATTTTTCCCCCCTCTCCCTTCCCACTCACAGCCAAAAGAGTTTTTCCCATCCGCTATCACGTTAGGAAGGAGAGTGGAACAAAAAAAAAACTTTCCCTTTTAGAATATTCGCAGCTTGTTACTCTCACTAGAAACAATATATACTTAGCAGCCTTCAAGGTTCCAGGTCACTTTCTTTTG